CCCTGTCTGTGGGCCGGTGAGGGAGATCTTTGATCTCCCCACCGGCCCATGGATTCACATAGCAGGGCTGGCGCTCGGATAGTGCTGGCCCTGCAGGGGCCGGCCGGGGAGATCCCCTGCCGGCCTCGGCGCCACGGCCATCGCGGCCCACCGGGCATTTGCCCGGTATGCCCGATGGCCAGTCCGGGCCTGGCTACATACAGCGATTGCCAAATAAACATGAACTGAACAGTGAGAAACTGTAATAGTAAATGTTACTGTAGATGAGGGGCTTTTGTTGTTTTTTATGTACAGGGTCACCATAACCTCTTGCATCTGACAACAGGTAATCGTATGTCCAACTAAAAGCAAACTGCACCCTTGTAGTCAGGACAGAATTAAGAGCTTACTGGGCCTGTTGCTGACAATTATGATGGCTCAAATCACAGAATATTACAGACAGAAAATACTAAAACCGTTATACCTACCAAGCGTCATCTATTTGGTGGAGGTGGTGCTTGATGGAAACTCACAGGATGCAGCTATAGGTCAACACATACCCTACGCTAATCTCTCGTTTTCATCTTTCAAGCAAGTCCACAAGCCCTAACAGCAGCATCCGATGAAGTAGGACATCGGTGTGTGGGGTAATAGGGTGGACCAATGACACAAATCATGCAGGCTTGCCCAGAAGGGTGCGGGTCTGCTTGAAGAATTGGATGGTCATTCTGGTGTAAATGCATGTCAGATTGCCTGCCAATCATGCAGGCTGGCCAACTGAGGGTGTAGTATGCAGACAGGGCTTTGAGCTTGTTGCAAATGTGTCTAATGATGTGCTTGCTATATGCTTTCTGTGGACTGTCTCCAAGCTGCAGTACTAAGAAATAATATTTATGAACTTCGAGATGTAACTTAGCCAGTAATTGTTAATAGTCACAAACAACACCCAATTCTGTAGAGGTGTTATAGATAGCTATTTAAAATATGGATTATTAATTGTGAACTGGATTCCAACCTCCTGCTAAACATTTGAAAATTAAATTCGCTCTATAGGAACCAAATAGGTTAGGCTGAGAAATATAGGCGTTGCAGTGTTAGAGCCATAGATATTGTAGTGGTTAATTTCTGGCAACTTTGTGACTTTAGATTAAAGGTGCTCTGAGGATAAATAAGTCTAGTTTGAAGTATAATGCAATAATCCAAAACTTGTAAATTCAGCAACAATTAATGAACAATAGATAGGTTTATAAAAACACAAGTAGGACACTTAGTACAAATTACACTTAGGGATGCAGTGCAGACTAACTGATGATATAAAAAATTATATGTAAAAGCCTAATGACAGGTAGCTTTGCTGAATGAGGCTTAAAATAAATAATGAAATCATGGCCGAATGTAGGCCGAATGTACTGATCCAAATTGAAAATGTAGCATGGACGAAAGTAGGCTGAATGCACTGTACCAAATTGAAAATGTAGCATAGTCGAACATAGGCAGCACGCACTAAACCAAAGTGACTATCTAGCGCAGATAACCGTAGGCCAAATGTACTTAGTCAAAATGAAAGGCTATCGTGGTCGAATATAGGCCGAATGTACAGAACCAAAGTAACTGGCATGGCAGAACGTAGGCTGAATTTACTGAATAATAGTGAATATGTAGCATGGCTGACCATAGGCCAAATGAACTGACATTCACTCTCCATGTGATTTATGGAACTCATCACCATGGGCTGTGATATTTTTCAAGGGTGAGCATTATCTCTGCAGTCTGGACTCAAACCTCAGTTAAGCCCTTACTGCAGGTTGGGGAGGGATTAGAGAGGATAGGTGGCAGATTGGAGTGGAATTAGGGAGATTTGGTGGTAGGCTTGTAGCTGTACATATGCCTTTCTGATGCACAACAGCCTTTCTGATGCAACCACTCCTTAATGTAAGGAAATGACCATAATGGCTGCACCGAACAGCAAACTGCAATGGTGTATATGCTGTAGGGAAGCTTATTGCAGTCAAATAATAGCTGTTTTAGCGTAATAATCGAATAACCACCAGGTCACCAGCCTTCTGTGACCCTACAGATCACTATCCATATTGGGGTTCACATCACAGTCTTTTTAGTCTTCCCTTGCATAAGTTTGGGGGTTTTGTAACGGGTTGGGTTTCATTGATCTTGGCTTAGAATTTTTATCGTATTCATCATTGTTTCTTGACCTGGCATTATTTTTTATTGAACTAGGACTCTATTATCCCTCACCCATCTAATTATATAGTTCTGTGTATTTTTAGTATCCATGATATCCATGGCTATTCTTGCTGTGCCTTTTTCAAGGTGTTAAGCCTGGCCACTCTAAGGCGCTGTAATATGCCCTGTATCATTTCCATATTTAGAATCTCCAAAAAAAAGTGTGCACACTCGCTTTAAACCAGTGACAATGTGAAACCTTTAATATAAAAAAGCAGCAGGCACCATAACATAGAAATGTGTAAAATTAAGTAAAACAAACCAAAAAAGTAATGTGCTCCACAATTCTCTTAATTGAAGAAAAAAAAAAAACATTAAACTTATACATTTGTGTTGAGCCTTCGTCCAAAATAAACAAACATTTCACGTGTATCTACAACATAAAACCCAAATATAGTGCAAACATATCTTCTAATCATGGTTTAGTATATTGCCTCTCCGTCTCATTTCAATACGTATATATGCATGCGTGAATGTAAAGTAACTTTTTATGTTGCGTAAAGATACTCATTTTTATTAAACATGATACATTGTACAAACGTGTATAAAGATACTCGAACATGGGTGAATATAAGACACCATTTATATATGGACATTAATGGACTCTTCACGCATATTTATTTTTTATTGGTTGTCCAATTAAAATCAAAAGGAAGGACCAAAATAAAGGTCCAATAAAGCATAAGAACTGGCAATTGTCAATACAATTTAATCAGAAAGGGTGAACAAAGATTGCATCTGAAGAAGTCCACGTGTTACGGACTGGCATGGATTAGTGAGATTAAGTGGCTGTTGGCGAGTTATAAGGGAGATTAGGTGGAAGGTTGGTGAGTTAGTAGGGAGATTAGGTGGCCAACTAGGTAGGAATTAATAGGTTTAGGAGGCAAACAGGAAGAGATTAGGGTGATTATATGGTAAGAAAGACAGAGTAGAGAGATTAAGTGCCAGGCTAAGAATTGGTTAGGGATTACATTGAGGGGAGGGATTAGGAAGATTAGGTGGCAAACTGCAGGTTGATTAGGGAAGTCAGATGGCAAGATTGGAAGGGATTAAGATAAAATGATTATGGAGTTCAGATGGCAGGCTGGGGAAGGATTGGTGAGATAAAGTTGCAACCTGGGCAGGGAGATTACATGGCAATCTGGGTAGAGATTTGTGAAGTTAGGTGGTCTGCTAGGGAGGGATTAGTGAAATTTGGTGGCAGATTGGTAACAATTTGGGGAAATTACCTGGCACAGTGTGTGGAATTAGGCAAATTAAATAAATTAGGTTGGAGGTTGATGATGGTTCAGGGTAATTAGATGACAGGCTGGGTAGTGATTAGTGTTATGACATGTACAATAGTGTCTGTGCGTGTATCAGAGTATTAAAGTAAATATGTGAGAGTATTATTAAATGAAGTTGACGCCATCACTTCTGAGTTTTCCATCAGGACAAAATCTCCATGAAAATTAGTAAAGACTGTATTGCAATTTCATATATCATATGACAAAGTAGGGAACATATGGCAAAGAATAGAGATTCATGGCCACATCATGCCATTGCCCAATAGCATCCACTCACACAGACTATTGTATGGTATGCAACTGTGCATTCACGAGAGACCTATGGAGGTTCATGTAGTCATCTAATTTTTTGTAGGGGACCAATAAGCAGAAGCTAGCTGCGCTCCAGACCACATTTATTAAAAGATTGCTTTGAATGAAGAACTGCGTTTGTTGAAGAGTGCAAATGTGTGTAAAGTGGATGTTGATCTATGTGGAGTACCAGTCTGCGAATGCATTGCATTGTGTATTTGTGCATTACATTTGCCTATTTCTATCAGTTCCTACTAGAGTACGTCTCTTCATCTGCCCCATTGTATTTCTCCCAATTCCCATCTGTTCATTTCACCATCTTCATCATATGTCTCTCTCTATTTATGCCATCCTTGTGTGCTTCTCCCAAAACCAAAACCCAAAAACGTTTGTTGAGACATGAACCAATGAAAATACAGTTGTGTATAGCACATGATAGAATACAATATACTCTTCAAATTATTACATAAAAAGATCACCATTAAGCATTATTATTTATGTGTCAATATCTTATTATTTCAACATATGTTCTAGTTTGAATAAAATATCACCACAAAAAATCCCAACTATGTCTTTTATTTAACTATTTACACAAATTGATTTATAGTAATGTTGACCAACATTTTAATAAAGATGGTTGAAGTTCATATAGAAACAGCATAGTTCTAGTTCCCCTCAGTTCCAGGTGGCAATCCTTATCTAGCATATGTAGGTGTTACTTCACAGCTCCCATTTCTGAAGATAGTTACACAGCATTTTACTTCTTACCAAAATATCACTGCATCTTGCAAATAAGTTCTGTTTATCTACCCAAGGGTACCATAAAGTGCAAAGGGGTCTGCAGGTGGTCAACAGCTTCTGAAGGCCTTTAGCCAGGTAAAAGATCTGTATGCCATTAAACTAATATTTATAACGTGAAAGCAGAGAGCTGCCATGCTGTTAAGGTCAAATACGTTTAAACCTTTTTTCCCCTATGTCTTCGTATGTGGAAATAAATCCTCGATGCAGTTATTACTGGTATACTCCAAATTCCCATCACTTTAGTGGTGCCAAACTACTGGCAACTGCAGATGCCTATTGGAATGGCCTGATCTCTCATCCACCAAAGGCCATGGCCGTATAATGGAGTAAGGGTGGTGGAGTTCCGTGGCATTCCTGTGCTGGGGCGATGGGGTGTGCCGAGAGACTGAGCATTCCATTGGTGAAGTAAGCGGTTCTGTTTTAATGCTGATGCCTTGTGGATGAGATGGAATATCTGGGGGAGTCTTGGTTTCCATATCTTGATGAAACCTGCTAGAAACCCTACAGGAAGATGAGAACAGAATGGATAACAAAGATAACACTTCCTCCTATGATGTTGCTAATTAGATATAATCGGTTAGCTGCATAACTTTGGGGTAAAAGCAAGTTTTTTGATTTTCCATTTCTATTACTGGCAGGCAGGTAATAATTATAACAACCCACTTGGTGGCAGCAAAGTATACATGTTATTCTAACTTAAAGGACAACTATCACCAGATTTAAAACATATATATATATATATATATATATATATATATATATATATATATATATATATATATATATATATATATTATAAGAATTTTTGCAACATATAATGAAAAGATATGGCTTTTTTAAATGTATATGTAAATGTATAAGTATATGTAAAAATGCCTGAAAATCTGGCCCCTACTTTCACAGAACACTAGATCCCTCTACCATATTCATACACCTTCGGTCTGTGGACCAGGTACACTATGTACTGACACTACTTAAGCCACACAGGGCAATGGCTGATGACATAATCGCTCTGTTCATGGAGTGATGCAGGAGTATACCAGTCGGATATAAATATGGCAGAGTGTTCTGTGAAAGTAAGGGGTGGATTTGCAGGTATTTTTTACATATGCTTCATTTTAAAAAGGAATGCTGCAAGAATTCTTGTAATATTAATAAAAAAGAAATAAAAAAAAACATTTCTGGTGTCCTTTAACAGATATTCTGCATTGTTCAACAATTTCTCAGTAACTATCACACAATACATTTCTGTCATCCTACCTTAAAGACTGTTATTTTACAGAACAAAGTGAAGACCTTTCCTGTTATATGCCCTCACTTTTCCCCTCACAGCTCAGCAATCATCGGAACTTGCCCTCCCTCATCATCGGAACTCCTCCATCCTCTGGGCACCGCAATCCTGAGGGAGGAGGAGTTCTGATGACGTGAGAGGGGGAGTCCTGATAATTGCCGAGTAATGAGTGAAAATATGAATGGCATGTATCAGGATTCCAAAGTAAACATTATTACACTAATGATAACAAAACATTACTTCACCTTATATTTTATATGAAAGGGACACTCTAGGCACTATAACCATTTAAATTATTTGGAGTCCCCTTTGCTGTCCCTCCATTCATAATAGATGCCAAACATCCTCATTTTCCTTTCCAGAACAATCCCACATTTTGAGAGTCTATCCCATGTAAAATGGGTTCTGGAAACCAAACCTGCATTTTCAAATCTGCCTGGCAGTTCCATCGTCAGCCTGGCCACCAACTTTAAGGCACTCCCACCCAATTTATAGGCAGACAATTATTCCGTGTGAGTCAGCTATGCATTCAGAGTTGCAATAGTAAACAATTCTAGCACACTAATGATGGGCTGTGGGCAGTCAGGAGAGTTCCTGAACACCCACAATCCAAACCCCACTTAGAGGATCACTATAGAGTCAGGAACACAAACATGTATTACTGACCCTGTAGTGTTAAACCACCATCTAGCTCACCTGGACCCCTCATGCCTCCATAAATATAGCAAAATCTTACTGTATTCAAACCAGAAGCTGTAGATCTGCATGCTGTTTGACTAAAAAAAACAAGCAGTCTGCTGAAATAATCAGAAGTAGCCTGATCCAATCACAGTGCTTCCCCATAGGATTGGCTGAGACTCACAAAGAGGCAGATCAGGGGCAGAGCCAGCATGATTCAAACACAGCCCTGGCCTATCAGCATCTCCTCATAGAGATGAATTGAATCAATGAATCTCTATGAGGAAAGTTCAGTGTCTGTATGCAGAGGGAGGAGATACTGAATGTTTGGATGCATTTTTGGCATCCATGACCCAGGAAGGATCTCTAGCAGCCAACTGAGGAGTGGCCAGTGAAGTTATCATTAGGCTGTAATGTAAACACTGCATTTTTTCTGAAAAGACAGTGTTTACAGCAAAAAGCCTAAAGATAATGATTCTACTCACCAGAACAAATGCAATAAACTGTAGTTGTTCTGGTGACTATAGTGTCCCTTTAAAGTACCAATTCATACCAGCAATGGGCAACTGTGATAAGCTAAAACCACTTTCTGCCAATCATCTCCCCCCATTGATGCTCAGGCTAATGCTTCAGAGGACTCTTGTTTAGTTTTAAACCATTAAAAACTGGTAACACTGAACAGAAATACTGCACTAGGAAACTCCAGACACTATGACCACTTGAAGATTAAGTGGTTACAGTGCCTACAGTGTCCCTTTAACGCCTTCACCCATCATGAGCATTAGAGGTATTCGCTCATAACCCAAGATTGGCACCCTTGTAAACATAATTTAATGAAACATATGTCCATAATGTTGAGGGCAATGGGACTACTTAAAGATATTTGTTACGGTGCAATTTAACCACATATAGAGGCAATATGACAAAATACGATGCAAAATTCATAGGTATATGAGGCAACATATGGGCAATATTGTGATGGATATTTGCTTGGGTGATTACAGAATATTTAAGAGAATTAAGGTATTTGTGGGTTAAATTATCCACATCCAGAGGACTGCAGCATAGATTCAGAGTTAAGAAAAATAGAAAAACAGTGCCAATCAATAAATATAATTTAATCTTGTTAACTGAACTTTAACTTCATTATTCTGTAAGTGATTTATGATGATGAAATGTGAATACTGACATTATAAAAATACTTTGACACATTACTTTCCCTAACACAGGAAGAATTGATTCTGGTGGCAAGTGATTGGAAATCCCTTCATGGTGAAGGAATTAATTAAAAGTATAGATCTACCAATGCCTGTAACCTTTACATTTGTTTTGTTAAGGAATATGGAGTGTATATTTATCTTACATGTAGCATTATGGTTTTTGAATGTATTAGTTTCTCACCTGAGTGGAGTGTGTCTCTGTGGGGAGTAGGGATGAGTCCATGGGGTAAATGTGTGTCCTGGCAGCCTAGGTGGGGAACTCAAGGCTGGATGACCAGAAGAGTCGGAGATTTGGTAATCTGAAACACATAATAGATTAGACATATGTGGTCACTTGAGGATTATACAATTAAACATCAGCTGGACATTCACCTGTGTGATTCACAGAGAAGTAAGGATAACTTGCCAAACCTCGAGACTGCACACCAGAGTATGCCAGAATTCTTTGCTGAAAAAAAAGAACAAAAAAACAAAATGGTATTAATATGTACTTAGTAGTACCTATAATATAGAATAGGAGAGAAAATATACTCCATTAATAATGGCTGGAGAAAATATATAATTGTCTTCTGTAGATTAAAAAAATAAATCATATATTATTATTAATATATATATATATATATATATATATATATATATATATATATTTATTTATTTAAAAAAAAATTCAAAGCAGTAAAACAATCTATACTTTGGAGCGGAATTCTAAAAAACACTTTACTGCAGCTACTGAGGGAGACAGACTGTTTTACTCTTGCTGTGCCTTTGTGGGAGTGGAAGACAGCGTGGGTCATTTATTCTATTGTGCAAGGTGAGGCCAAATATACCAAATCTTTAAAACAAACCTTATTGTCCAGCTCTAGGGCAATCATGACTTTCAGCAAAATGTTCATCCCATCACTATATACTGTTCCTGAGTGCTACTATTGAAGTAACAACTGACTTAGGCTGTAGGTCAGTGGGTGCCTTTCACTATAGATTTATGGAGTGCTCCTATTGACCAGCATGCCTTCCTCTCCTTGACAGCACACTGGTGGTAGCCCACAGTGCCTGGGAATGGTGGTGGCAGTGGAGGAGGCCTGAGCTTAGCAGCATGTCAGTCTGGGAGTGTATCTGTAGAGCAGTCGATCTCTCCTGCTTTTATGGTGTAAAAGTTGTTGGCAGATCAGCAATTAGACAAATGGTGTCAAATTGGTAGGGAGATCAGGATAGGCATTAATCTGCATGTTGACTTCATGGTCAAAACTCTAACACACCCTATGTCTTATAGTGAAGGGTGCAATTCAGGGTGCCAACACAAAAGTGTCAACCATACGTGAGCATTGCAGTAGGATTTCTGGGCATTTCCACAGTAGTGTAAGGGCTATCCAAATCTTGAGACAACAGCAAGAGGAAAGCGGGCTTACCACAAACTGCCAGTACGCAGTAGAACTCTACTTTAGACATGCTGGAAAGAATTATGGAACATCAAAGGGCAATTTATAGTCTATTTTCCCACCACTCCATCGGCATTGACTCCTCACTGGGGCATGAGGATTGGACAATAATAGTGGGAACTAGTGTCAGTTCTTATTCCATTTAGGTACATAACAGAAACTTTGAGCCATGTTAATGCCAGTTTTGGACAGCACATCCCGTTGTTCACCCACCTCATAAACAAGATGGATACCTTCCTAGAAAACAGGGAGTTAGTTCCTGGTGGCACACTCCACACCGATGTAGAAGAAGTGGTCAGGAAGCTGAATAATCTACTCAATGCGTGCCAAACAAATTGTCAATTGCCTTAACTAATGCTAGCTACTCCGTGTGATCCTAGGATTAAGGGAAAAGTGTCATTCTGATGTAACACCATGACATACTAAAGGGACAGATGTATTAACATGGTATATTATTTGCAGGGAAAGAGAAGCATGCTGGTTGAGGAACATGTGCACATTGAAACTACTATGTTGTTGCAGTCTACTACCTCCAGCAACTGCTCAGCAGCATAGCCCCAAGACAGAAGAGCAAAACAGATGCAGTTTGTGCTGAGGATGTTGGCAGTTTGGTGGGAACATGTGAAACAGCAGCAGCTGAAAGAATAGTAGTGCCTCTGAAATGGTCAGAACCTCTTTTGTCTCCTAGCGAGTACCCTCTGAAATACTGGATAGAGAATAAAAGTGTGTGGCCTGCTCTGTACCTGGTTGCCCAACAGCTGTTGTGATTTCCACCGAACAATGTCCAAATTGAACGTTCACAAAGAGCATTCCAAATTCCTAATACTCACAAATGTCCCGACAATTGAATAAGTAAATAGTCTCAAGTTGGATTACCCTGCTCTTCATTTATTGGGCATCATCATGTGCTAGCTGAAATGCAATTGGCCGCTCACCTCTCCCTTCCAAGTTGTTGCTAAATTTGGTGATACATGAAAAGTATTTTGAATTACATTTCTCCTGCTACTCCCCCCTTTTCATGAATGCCGCCCTATGAGGTATGTGAAGCCGCGCATGCGCACAAGGGAGCAATGACGCTTCCGAATTGCTCCCTGCTCGTGCCTATGAAATAGGGGGCATGGCTTCACAAGGTTCCCGGAGCTGGAACGAGGTGAGTAAAAAGGACTGCCTGGAGTGTCCCTTTAAGCTTGGGACTTTGGTATCCAGATTGTGAAAGAAATGGCAGTACTCACGAGCCACTTGTGTCTTGCAAGATTAAAACATGGATCAACGTTTCAGTCCCTAAGTGGGACTTCCTTCAGGATCAATATGATATGATATTGATCCTGAAGAAAGTCCAATTTAGGGACTGAAACGTTGATCCATGTTTTAATCTTGCAAAGAAAATAAGATTTTAAGTAAAGACCGTGAGTGCTGCCGTTTCTTTCACAATATATATATATACATATATATATATATATATATTATTGATAAATTTCTTCTTCTAATTCAAAATCTTAGTCCTTTCAGGGTAATTAAATTAAACAGTAAAGCATACTCACCTACAGACAGAGACAATCTTACTGATGCACACAAATAGGCTCATTGACAGACAATCTCAATGACATACACAGACAAGGTTACTGGTACACACACAAATTTAGTACAGACAAACTGCTTACTACAGACAAGCTCACTGTACACACATACTCACCACAGACAGGCTCACTGACACACATACAAGCTCACTCACTAGCAGGCACACACACAAACTCACTAGCAGGCACCCACACACAGAAGCTCCCTCACTAGCAGATGCACACACAGAAGCTCACTCACTAGCAGATGCGCGCACACACACACACACACACAGAAGCTCGCTCACTCAATAGCAGATGCACACACACACAAAGACATCCACACACACAGAGGCAGACAGTCACTGACACAGAGGCAGACATCCACACACACAGAGACAGGCAGACAGCCACACACAGACAACCACACACACACAGGCAGACAGTCACACACACACACACACACACACACACACACACACACAGTCACTCACAGGCAGACAGTCACACACACACACACACACACAGGCAGACAGTCCCACACACAGGCAGACATTCACACACATGCAGGCAGTCAGTCACACACACGCAGACAGTCACACACTTACACACACAGTCACACACACAGGCAGACAGTCACTGACACAGAGGCAGACATCCACACACACAGAGACAGGCAGACAGCCACACACAGACACCCACACACACACAGACAGCCACATACAAACAGGCAGACAGCCACACACACACACTCACAGACAAACAGTCACACACACAGTCACACACACACAGGCAGGCAGTTACACACACAGACAGTCACACACACACACACACACAGGCAGACGGTCACACACACACCCAGGCAGACAGTCGCACACACAAACACAGGCAGGCACACAGTCACACACAGGCAGACAGTCACACACACACACACACACACACACACACACACACAGGCAGACAGTCACACACACTCAAACACACACACACACACCACACTCACACAAACAGTCTCACACACACACACACACAGTCACACACACACAGGCAGACAGTCACAGACATACACACACACAGTCTCACACACACACACAGGCAGACAGTCACACACATACACACACAGGCAGACAGTCACACACATACACACACAGTCACACACACAGGCAGACAGTCACACATACACACACACAGTCACACACACATGCAGACAGTCACACACACACACACACACACACACTGATCTGCTTCTTACCTCAACATCCCTTGGAGCTCCTGGGGTCTGGTTGTTGGGGAAGCAGAGACTCCTTCCTGCTTCCCATGCCGCAGTTACCAGGGTCCCCGCCGCACGCTAAGACCCGCCCCCGCTGCAATATTTTTATTTTATTTATTTTCTTAGAATCCCAGCCGGCCATGTGTGAGCTGTGCCGGCCGCCTGGCTCCCACATGTCCGGCCGGGATTATAGAAGCTTGATCTCTGATCAGCCCAGCCCCAGGTGCCGCGGCCCACCGGGAAATTTCCTGGTATCCCGGTGGGCCAGTCCGGCCCTGGTCTTGCAAGGTGACTATGCCTGTTACCTCTGCAGATACAGTTGGGAGAAGCTGATAAGGCACTGTTTTTCCCACACTGAAGGACACTAGAGACTGGATGTGTGGGGAAGCTTTGTTCCTGCAAAGGTGGAAGGGGCGAGTACGTAGGTGGTCAATTCACCATTGACTTTTTTCTTTAATTTTTGGATAAACCTGAAATGACTACTGCTACCCATATTGTGTTAATACAAAATAGAAAAAGTAAAAAGATTATAATGCTGCATTATAAAACGAAGTTCAATCAATTCACATTTTTTAATGAAGATATATAATAATCATTTTTGCAGATCAGCATTGGCATTGCAAAAATGCATGATATTGTGTAGCCATTAGGTCAGGCAATATTATAGCTATGTTAGTTACAGGCACCATTTCCAATGCATTTTCTGACTGTCTGAGTTATCTTTTTTCAAAACCAAAATTTGTCCAAGCCGAACAGCACCATGAACAACATTTTGCCGAAAAAAAAATATTTCCCGTCAAAGTGTTTTGTTCAGTCTGCACAACAAGTGAACTACTGAGCTATCTCAAAGATTCTTAATCAAAAATTTACCTTGGCATTGGCCAGATCTGTCTTCTGAGTATCACCACCCAGGTATGAGGAGGTTACAGTCTTGCTCTGGCCTCCATGACTCTGGTTGCTGTAAGGTGGCAAGGACCCTGTGTATGGACAGGTGTTAGTTAATAGTGAGAGGGAATACACAATAAGCTTGAGATCTACTTTAAACTCAATTCACATGTGGTCCACTTTAGTTTTGTCAGGGATTTACCTGTGGAGTCACTGAATTAGACTCCTCAGTAAATCCCGGACGATTGATTTGAATAATAATAAAAAAAAAAATAATAAAAAAAAAAAATAATAATAATATATATATATATATATATATATATACACACACACATAAAAATGTAGAAAATTCCTGCACTCCAACTTAACAGAAGGTGATACCTGGTGCTCTGGTAGCCAAACAATAAATAAAGAAAATACCGGCACTCCAAGAATTTACAAATGGATTTCTTCTTTAAATGATGATTTTGGAATAAAGAAGAAATCCATTTGTAAAACCTTGGAGTGCCGGTATTTTTTTGATATAATTCAGATGAAATGTCCTAAACAAGTGTTCAACAAGTCTATTATTTAATGCTAATTCTCAGTGAGTGTGGATGCAGGTAAACTGGCATATTAAGCTATTATAAGTGCTTGGAATTCAAATAGGTACCTTGTTGTATCAGACTTTCTGTGGAGGAATTTTTCAAAGTTGTAGGTTTGAAATTCAATGGTCGGATTATGGTTTGAGGTAAATTGTGGTCCCCATACTTCTTGTGGGGAGAGGAAGCTGCACTCAGAGTACCGTGGCTCATCTGCAAAGGCTTCTGGGGGGGAAAAAGGAGACGATAGGGAACAATACATTTTCATTAGGAGACATTTTTGTATCTCCCATTACTGGTTATTGCAATCTTGCTATTAGATGTGAACTTAAATGAAAGGCAGAGACCAAACGCTGAGAATATTCAAACAACAGAAAATAACACAAGGGAGAGATGAACACATAATGGAGCAATTTCTAACACTGCATATGATCCTTTGGTCTTTTTATTTTTTTATGTCTCTGCTTGCCTTGTCTATATAAGTATATCTGTGGGTTTTATACAAAAAGGAAAGCAATAGCGACTATTTTTATTCTTAATGCTATATTTTCTGAAAAGGAAATAGAATGGTTTACTCCTTTGATGGTGGAAGTGTCATAGTAATATGGTATATTTTACCACAAGCTTACAAGAAATGAGAAAGAGATAGAACGACAGACAGAAAGAGGAAGCTTTAGCTCTAAAATACCATCTTAAATACAAAGACCAGAGGGGCATTCGAGGCCATTCATTTGCAAAAATTACACTTATCCATAACTGAATGCAAATAACAAGGTAGACATTCATGTTGTCTGTTTGCCACCTATCTTGCCCTCTTCACCTTACAAGTTACAATTGCAAGAAAACGTCTGTGCACTTTTTCTAGTGCCATAATATCCTTCATTAGAACAGGTGACCAAAATTGCACAGCATATTCAATATGTGGTCTTACCAGTGATTTATCAAGAGGCAAAATTATATTTTCGTTCTGAGAATGAATGCCCCTTTTTATACCTTACTGGCCTTCCTTAGTCACTGCTGATTGACATAGTACATTGTGGCCTAGTTCGTTATCTATTACAATTCCCAAATTCTTCTTGTGTATGGTTATCCCTAATTCACTACCATTTAGGTTGTAAGTCGCTTGGGCATCCTTTACCCCGAAGTGCATAACTTTGGATTTTTCTACATTCAATTTCATCTGCCATTTGAGTGGTAGGTCCCCCCAATCTATCTAAATCCCTCTGGAGCAAAGTAATATCTTGCTCACATTGTATTACTTTACAGAGTTTTGTGTCATCTGCAAACACTGAAACATGACTTTCAATGCCTGTTTCAAGATAATTTATAAATATGTTGAATAGAAGCATTCCGAAAACAGAACCCTGAGGCACACCACTTACCACTTTTGCCCAGCTTGAAAATTTACCATTTCTTCCTCTGCTTAAAATTTCAGATTCAGTCTGAAATATTGTAATATGAGGGATACCATACACTCTCTCGTGTTGATCCCTACACCATTATATGTGGCATATTTAACTTACAGGAGACATGGTGTGACGAGGAGTGGACAAGTTGACATTTTCCCCTGGGATCCTCTGGGCCTGTTCCAATCCATCCTCCGTCTCCAATCCCAGACTCCTCCGTTTCAAAGTCTATTCACAAGAAAGGTCATAGTTTGTTATCAATGAGCTGGTTATTTCGATAAGTTCTCTAAAAATAACCCTGGAATTAGTCTATAGGCATCAATCTTCTGATCTATATCATCATAAGTAGAGTTCAGGGAGCAGCCATGGTGTACTACTAGTAATAATGTTGGGGTAGCTGTGACCTGTAGAAGTTAGATTAGTAATGGTCTTGATTATTTAAAGAAATCGCATTGGTATTAAATGCTGCTAAGTGCACAGGGGCCTCGACAATGTTTGAAGAAATAAATGTGACACATTAGTTGCTGGAATGGGAATCTTGCCTGCCAAGAGTTGACATTTACAATCCTAAGGGTCCCCCCACTCTCAGGGTCCCCCTCCCACTGAGCTGAAGGGGTTAAAGCCACTTCAGCCACTTACCTTAATTCAGCGCCGGGCTCCCTCTGCGCCAGTGACCTCTCCTCCCCCGCCCATGTCAGCGCCCGAGTGGAGCTCAATGCTTTCCTATGGACGTTCTGCACACGATTTTCGCATCCTGTGTTGCAGAAGCGGCTGTCAGGAAGGCAGCCACTAGAGGTTGGATTAACCCTGCTATGTTTACATCTGAAGGGTTAAAACCTGGGGGACCTGGCACATTGAGCTGAAGTGGTCTGGGTGACTATAGTGTCCCTTTAAAATGGCAATCCTAAATTACCTAGAGTAGAAAACCTTTCTACTTAATTTTTTACTTTTTTGTTATTAAATATATCTCACTAATGCACCTTAGTATCCTGTTTTCCTGCTGGGGTACTTTTCTTTTTTTTCCTTTTTATTAAATTGTGGCATATTCACAATTTAATACACTAACATACAGAGCTTGAGTGTATTAAAGCATAAAAAAACAACAACAATAATAATAATAATAATAATAATAATAATAATAAAAAAACAACTATTTATCCAAACCACCTTTCCAATTTTCTGTTTATTTTCATTTTAATCCAATTGTTTTTTGTTTTGTTTTTTTAAAATTCTTTAGGTTGTGCATGAGTTAACAAGCAGATTTGCACTGCCACAATAGCTAGTGCAAACAGAGCATTAAACAATGGAAAACAGTGTGGCTGCATATACATTGCACATTTTTTAATGATAATGAAGTATTCAGTAGGCTAGCGATCAAGGTCTAGGCTAAGTTTTCATACTTTGTTACGTGGGGCTGTGCTTTCTAGACTGATAATAGGTTAATACGAGTATAATAGTAGAAATACAACATGCTTTGGTTTGAGCTATATAAGATGTGGGTGCAGATAGTGTTTAGTTGGATAACTGCTTGTGATGTCCCCCCTGTGATCCTTGGATAAGCTAAGTTAGGGTTATAAATTCACTGGAGCATGTCTGCCCTATTGTGCCATCCGGGGTCGTGAGTGTAAGCTGTGTGTTGTATTACATGGGAACCAGCAACTTGTAAAACAAAGCTTTGAAAAATTAAAACAGTTAAAAGTATCCCAACTAGATAGGACTGAAAGTGATATTGTCCTCAGGATGTGGCTGCCACGTATGATCCAGTCTCGGCTCCCCATGGGATGAACGGGGTGATCGCCGCTGGGTTCCAGGTGCGTGAAGGTTTGGAGGCGGTAGTGGGGTCTTTACTGGCCAGACTGTCCTGCAGTAGACCCAGGGCTTGTAGTAGTGTTGCTGCCTCTTGTAAGTCCTGTAGGATGTGCGTGGAGTAACTGTGTGTCACCATTAGCGTGTGAGACATGCGCCAACGGTAGCGTATGTTCTTCTGCAGTAAAAGGGAGGTGAGAGGCCTGAGGGACCTCTGCCATGCCAGCGTGCTGTTAGAAAGGTCCTGGTAAAAGGCCAGTGTCATGCCTTCCATCTGATATGTGGACGCTCCCTTGAGGGCCGTGAGGACTGCAGCTTTGTCTGTTCCGGACTTGAATTGGACCACTAGGTCCCGTGGGGCCGTCACCGGTGCCTTAGCCGGTTTGGGGATGCGGAATAGACCTTCCAGGTTCATAGCTTTGGCCTGCCGCTGTGGGAGTAAAGCAGCCATTAGCCTTCTCATTAGGTGCGGTAGTTCTGCGTCCGGCACTTCCTCCGAGATCCCTCTAATTTTTTAATTATTTCGGCGTCTGGCATCTTCCTGTGCCGCGAGGCGGCGGTCATATACTTGGGTTTGCTGTTTTAGTTCTCTGACCTCTTGTTGTAGGGTATCCAAGCGTTGCGAGCTTGTGTGTGATGCTTCTTCTAGCACTCCGATGAGGCTTGTTAGGCCCTGCAGGCCCCCTCGGATCGTGGCTATGTCTGCCTGGAGCGTGGTTTTCAGATCGTCCAGGAGTTCCTTTAGGACGGCCGTGGTGACCGGGGCTGTATCTGGTGTTGTCGAGCCCGGTTTTGGCTTTGGGAGTGCCAGTAAGATTTCATCCTCCCCGTCTGTGGAGAGTTCGTCAGAGAAATCTGAGCAGCCGCCGGTGAGGGCGGCCATGTTAGGTCCGTATGCGCCCTGTGCCTGCTTCCACATTTCCCCGATATTCCTTCCCATGGTCGGCTTGTCTGATTTGGGCTTTTTAGATTTGCGCCCCATAGTGTTTGGGCAGGCGGGTACCGACCTCCGGGTCCAATTAGTGGCGGTGCTGGTAGCAATAAATAGGCTTTTTGTGGCATAAAGCTCAGAGCTTCAGAGACATGCGGCCAGTCGCTTCAACAGCTTAGCTCCGCCCCCTCCAATTGTTTTTTTAATTACCAAAAAAGCCATAATTAGATGAACCCCTTAAGGACACAGCTTCAGAAGCCTTTCTTGAACTTAAGGATGCAAGCAATTTTTGCATTTGTTCTTGCTGTTTGTTTTCAACTGCAATTTATATTTTTCTCATTTATTGCACCAACATACATTAAATGCCAATTTTCAAAAGATAAAAAGGATTTAATTTGATACATATACACATATAATTCCCATTTATTACAAAACATACACTTTTTCACAGCTTGGAGAATAATAATGTGTGCATAATAAGTGCAGCTTACGAAAATTACATACATACATAATATGTCTAGAATTTCATTGTATTTTGATAGTTACAGGTCACAAAATACAAGATGTAAAATAAAATTTCAATGTGGAACAATTTTACAAGTTGGTGTGTTTGTCTAGTAAGCTTAGTAGCCATAACAAAAATAAAATTGTCAGACAAAAGTTATGTATGTATATGAAGTAGACATCAGAGGCTTTTTACCTAAGATTATTTTGACATACAAACATATAACAAGGTTTTTTAATGTGTATTTCATAAAGCCGATGTGTGCTATACCTGTACAAAACCCATATTGGGTTTGGCAACATCTGCTGAGTACAATTTGAGGCATTATAGCAGTTTGACTGTTCAAACTACAAAGGCCTACCATTTGTGAAAGTAGACTCCAGGGTATCTCATATGATCTATGTTGTACCATTTTTTTCGCAAATTTATGTCAGTTGATTGGTATTGTGTCCCTTTTATTATGTGCCACTGTGATAAAACCCCCTAAAATCCCACCAAGTCCCCCAATTTATGCTCAGTTACATCTTTTGAGTAACACAATATGCCTAATCAGAGCTGGTCCTGGGGGTTGTGGACCGCCAAGGTGCTCTGTAGATAGGAGGGGTATGCAGCGTTAGGATCCGACTCAATGTGATCCTGCCCCTCTCATTAGGCCCCGCCACTATGCAACCCGATGCTGCTCATGAGGGACCTGATGACAAAGGGCCGCATCTACCTGTGAGGGACGGAGCCTAGCGTTGCACACCTTGCCTGTCTACAGTGCACCTGGGCAGTCCACACCTCCACAGGATCAGCTTTATGCCCAGTGTATGACCAATACACTATTGTGTGAAGTTACAGTGCAGAGACGTGACCATTTTAGGTTTATGTGTGAATTTTCATAGATGGTGTTGATGGGTCAATATTCATTTTTGGAGCATTTTAGTAGGTTGCCACAAAGAACTACCATTTGTAAAAGAAAACACCCCATTATAGCTCCTATTCCCAACATGCACCCACCACAGTCCCTATGCCCTTTTCACCCACTATAGCCCTTATCCCACCCTGCACCCACCACAGGCCTTATGCCTTCTTGTACTCACCACAGCCCCTATGCCCCCACTGCATCTGCAACACAGCCCCTATGCACTCACCACAGTTCCTATGCCTTTCTGCACCCACTACAGTCCCTATGCCCACCCTGCACCCACCACAGCTCCCATAAATTCAGCCCTGAATCAATGCATCTCTATAAGGAACGCTCAGCACCTATGTGTAGAGCATGGAGACTCTGAACATCATATTCTGCAGCACTGACCCAGAAAGCACCTTTAGTGGCCGTCTGAGTGACTGCCACTGGAGGTGTTACTAGGAAGTAGTGTAAACACTGCTTTACATTAAAAAGCCTGCAGGGGCCATACTATAATCACCAGAACAACTACATTAATCTTTTCCATTTAACTAAAGATGGATCCAAGAAGGATTAAGTATGGATATAGTATATAATAATTTACAAAGGTAATATAGCTGTCAGATCTATCTTCTATTTACTGAAAAAAAAATGTAGATGTATATTGGAAACCATAAAACTTGTAAATAAGAAAATATTTTCATTCATCATTGAATTCCATTGGAAAAGTGAGAATGTGAATAGGATTTTCAAGAGTCTCTAATTTACTCATTATACAAGCATTAGCTAAATATCTTCATTTACTTATTTCTGCCTCTTTGATCTCTTTTTAAAAACGAAAGCAGTGTTTTTGATGTATACATTACATTGTGGTTTTGTAAACGCTTGCCGTTAACCTCACTATAGTAATTGTTTTAATTGTTTTACTGCACTTATGTTTGCATTGCTATTGATCATAAATGTAAGTGTGTGATTTTCCAGAGCGATGCCTGGTGTACTCAGTATCACTCTTAAGCGTGGCCAAGCTGCCCTGCACTTTCTCGCCCATTAGGCCCCTTATGCAAATCGGGACTCTGGTGGTAGTGGGTGGGGGTGGTCGGAAGGGCAGTTTGACTCTGTGAAACAACACTGGACATCCTCACACTTTGCATGAAGATGTCGAGTGTCTTGTAAACCCTGTGGGAAAGTACTGAGTCAATGCTTTGGTGTGGGGAAGGATGATTTGTGTGTGGCATTCGCCACGCATGCGCAATTGGTTCTTGGATCGTGCTGACATCATCGTTGGAGTCTGATTAGGTAAGAGAGCAAGATGTTTTTAACACCTTCTTGGCCAGGTTGAGGAGCAGAGGAAGAGGGACACTGTAGTGTTAGGAAGGCAGTTTTGTATTTGCAACACTATAGTATTCCTTTAATAAATTAAATAAAAATCTTGGTGCACACCATATTGAAATGGGCTGCACACACAACTATGGTCACAAATAATCTTCTAAAGTGTTTATTACATGAGGTCTAACACCTGGTTTCTACATATCACAAGGTAGATGATCACCTACCTCCAGGATGTCTGAGTTAGTACGGCTCTCATGAGGCTCGGTGTACTCAGTGTATTTTAGGAGCACATGGTCCATGTCAGTGCTAGCATACTGGAATAATCGATTGGACCCATTGAAAATGATGAGTGCAATCTCACAGTCACACAGGACACTCAATTCGTATGCCTTCTTCATCAACCCAAACTTCCTCTTGGTGAAGGTGACCTTAAAAGAATAGAAATTAGAGTGGTTAAAATAAATTTCTGATTCCTTTTGGGATATACATAGCTTACTGCTATAATGGGCTTGTGAGAAACACAATACATTGTTCTTCTTCCAAATTGCATTTTAGTTGCATACTTTTTTTATTAGTAAGTCACCTCAAATTTCTGAGAACTGCCCCGCTTATATCCCTAGGATTAAAGTAACCCTATGTGTCCATTTGAAATGTTGAGAAGTATGACAATGTAACACCTGTGAGGGAGATTTCCCCCACTTTATATAACCAGCAAATTGTAAAAAAATAAATACCTAAATTACATAATTTAGGTGAAAATAACCAAACACTTCTATAGCAGAGTTGGAGAATTTTTCCAGATCAGCTATTTTTGTTTAAACTTTGCTATTCAGCTTTGGATTCACTATAATTTAGAGGTAAGTAAATAAACTGTGTGAGGAAGCAACGTGGTTTATATACTGTATAGCATCACCTCTGCCAATCTCTTGCAACAAAGAGATGGAGGGTTGAAGGGACACTATAGTCACCAGAACAACTACAACTTATTGAATTTGTTCTGGTGAGTAGAATCATTCCCTTCAGGCTTTTTGCTATAAACACTGTCTATTCAGAGAAAATGTAGTGTTTACATTACAGCCTAGTTAGAACTCAACTGGCCACTCCTTAGATAGCTGCTAAAGGTGCTTCCTGGGGCAGTCCTGCCTAGTGTGCAGCACTGCCATTCAGTGTCTCCACCCCCTGCATGCAGACACTGAACATTTCTCATAGAGATGAATTCATTCAATTAATATCTATGAGGAGATGCTGAGTGGCCATGGCTGTGTTTGACTTGTACTGGCTCCGCTCCTGATCTGCCTTCTTGACCATCTCAGCCAATCCTATGGAGAAGCATTGTGATTGACTCAGACTACCACTTCTTATTATGTCAACTGGCAGAGGCAGTTCAGGGGCAGAGACAGCAGCTTCAGACTTGAATACAAGTAAGATTTTACTATATTTAGGGACACAAGAGGAGGCCAGGGGGCTAGATGGTGGTTTTAACACTATAGGATCAGAATACGTTTATGTTCCTGACCCTATAGTATTCCTTTAATAATGAATTCCTAAGTTCTGTATCACAATGACTGTGCCTCCCCTTTAATGAAGGACCGAAAAGCCAATTTCATTGCTAAAAGTTCCATTCACGAGCAGGATTTGCTGAGTTAATACCCCTCGTTAACTAATGTATTTTTATTATATTGCAATTAATAGTAGGTGTTTACTTAAGAAAACCAAAAGGAGGGCTGTGGCCTGGACCTGAATTCCAACGGTCGCATGTATGGTTAGCTCCGCGGAATTTTGTCCCTCTCACAGCTTCAAAACACCCATTAACATAAGGAGAACGGTGCCCTGATCATGTCCCACCACAAGGGCAAGCGGGCGATGGAAAAGCAGGATAAACTGCATTTCTTTGGTGCCAAGCAAGGGCAGGCAAAAGGCACTCATCAACTAACTTCCCCCACCAATATCACTCCACCTCGCAAACAAAGTCCAAAGGGGTCTCCACCTTTATAAGTAAGAAGGTAGCATTTGAACTACTCCTAGAGGATATAGATCAGGATGGCAGATATGTAATCATAGTGGGACCCATAAACAATGTCCTGTACACCATTGCTAACCTCTATGCACCCAACACCAACCAAAGAAACTTTCTGCACAAGATAATACACAGGGTTTCAGTAATCCAACAAGGCACAACCATAATATGTGGGGACCTGAACCACGTCCTGGACTCCACTTTAGACCCTACACTCTCTCACACTATTCCTAGATATAAGCCACTCAAACGACAATGCGTTACCTTGGTGAAACTACTGTCCCTACACCATTATTATGATGCCTGGAGAGTCATGCACACAGAATACAGGGATTACACCTATTTCTCGTCAGTTCATAATACCTTTTCTCGCAGACGACATACTACTGACACTGACGCAGCCACATATCTTACTACCTAACCTACAACAATGCATACAGGACTACAACACAGTCTCCTATTACAGACCCAACTTAACAAAAACACAGGCAATGGGGGTCAGCATTCCTGGGTGCCTTACACAGACCCTGAAGACATCCTTTAACTTCTATTGGAGGGATGACTTTGTAACCTTTTTAGGAATATGACTTACCAAATCGACACACTTACTGTATAAACATAACTATGAGAAACTATCACAGGAGATCACCTAGACGCTCCAGTCGTGGGGTAGTGATTTTCTATCCTGGCACGGACGAGTGGTGGCATTTAAAATGTCCCTACTTCCAAAATCACAATAGCTATTAAGAACTCTCCAGATCCCCATCCCTAAACACTATCTGGTGGCCTTACAAAAAGCCATTACACGATTTGTGTGGGCGAACAAAAAGCCCAGATTCGCAATTCACACTCTAAAGAAACCCACTTCAAGGTGGGGATGAACTTTCCAGATATAAAATTGTATTATAAGGCCACACTCCTCTTCACTGTGGCAACTACACACAACCAACAACAACCAAAAGCACCCCAATGGGTGGCCATTGAATCTCACTGGTCATGCAGGGCTGGATTGCACCACCTATTTTGGGTACCGAAAACACAGAGACCTGCGATGCCACAAATACTGGCACCAACCACACTACTGCTGAGCACGTGGGACACCTAGTGCGAACACACAGGGGGACCTAATGCAATATAATTGGCCACGACAATGTCCAGCATATACCTGAGGAACCAGACCTTTGACTATGTCACATGGATGACAGCGGGATGTACACATGTACACCATCTATATGAAGGGACCAATCTGAAACAGTTCCCAGACCTACAGATGCAATTTCACCTCCCTAACAGGGCACTTTTTTCTTATTTGCAGCTCAAATCCCTCCTGCAGTCGACTATGCGCCACCTCCATGAACCCATGCTCTCCAAATTTGATACACTGTGCCTTACAGGAACACCACACAGAAAAATTATCTCGATAATTTTCGCAATAATGCTAGAGAGTAAATCTGAGTACACTGACAAATTCATGCAAGCATGGCAGGACAATCTTGGCTCCACAGATCAATGGAGCCGAGCGTTCACAATACATAAAGGGAACACAGCGTGCATCACACACTTTGAACAAATACGAAAAATTACAATACAGGTGGTATTTAGTCCCAACGAGACTGGCACACATATATCCTGGCACATCCAACAAGTGTTGGAGATGCATGTCTGAAATAGGCTCAATGTACCACATATATATGGTAGAGGTTAACACAGTAAAGGAGTTTAAGCATACGTGGGATATGCATAAGGCTATCCTAACTATAAGATAAGGCCAGGGAATAATGAAAGTATTTAAAAAATTGGGCAGACTAGATGGGCGGAATGGTTCTTATCTGCCGTCACATTCTATGTTTCTATATGGTGGACATGCAAACTTACCTGCCCGTGCTGGACAATGGTGAGTGAAATTCTTACCCACTTACTACCTATGTCCCTAGAGTTGACACCTGAGGTGTGTCTCCTGTATATATGGCCTGAGAATCTGGGGAAGGTCCATGCTAAACTACTGTTCCATACATTAATAGCTGCATGCACCCTCATTGCCAGAGCATGGAAAACACAAGAAACTCCCTCTAAACGCATGTTAGTGCAGCAAAACCAAACGAACTGGGACTATGAGCTAATGGCAAACCAACAGATTAGAAAGGGAGGAGCGACAGAGATGACAGGACAGATATTGGAAACATACTGGCTAACAGTGGGGAAACCGACAGCGAGTGACATGTAGAGCTAACATGAGATTGAGGACACACGATTGTTCATATGTCCGACACCCCAACAACAGTGAAACGGCGACACAAAGAGTTTAACGGAGTACCACACCGCACACTACACATTATGCCTGGGTGATGCTGGGCGCAGAAAGAAAAAAAAGAAAAAATTTGTTAAAAAAAGGGTCCCTCATCGGCACTCCACCCCTCTATATACACACTCAGAGCTGTAAAGCTAATAACGAAAACGACACCTCTCATCAGATAGACGCTGGCTACTGGCGGTAGCCTTAATACAATACACTACAACCCACTTGTATATATGTTTACCCACACTCCCCCTCCCCCTCTCCCCAAACCACTGCTGAATGTGAAGTTTGGGGTGGGAAGGGTAATATCAACTAAGAGAGGTCTGAGTTGGGAAATCTACTAGACTGCACCATGCATTAAAGGGACACTGTAGTCACCAAAACAACTTTAGCCAATTCACAGAGGTAGAAAAGTGGATATCGGATAACAAACTCTTTATAAACACCGACAAAACTGTTACAAAGATCTTTGGAACTGTACCTAAATTACGTAAACTACAAAATCAACAACTGTGTATCAGAACAAATTCAAATAGCACACTGACAGCAGTCTGCTCTTTTAAATATCTAGGTATCTTGCTAGACCCCAATCTATCCTTTGGCCTTCACATTGAAAAAATCTCTTCAAAACTTTACCCAAAACTAGGTGCCCTGTACAGAAACAAATCCTGCCTAAGCCCTACAGTAAGGAAACAGATAGTGCAACAAATGCTAATGCTGGTCATTGATTAAGGGGATGTAGAGTATGCACCCGCACCGCAAACCCACCTTAATAAACTTAATACGTTATATAATTCATTCTGCCGCTTTTTACTAGAATGTAATTACTTTACCCACTACTGTGACATGTTAAAAGAGCTAAACTGGCTGTCGCTGGAATCCCGACGCACTCTTCATCTTTCCAGCCGTGTGCATAAGAGCATTTATGGGAAGCTTCCTCCCCCCCACCTGAGTAGAATGCTCTCACTGGCTGTTCCCACCTCCTATAACCTCCGATCCAGTACTAGCACGATATTTAGCATAACACAATACAAAAATAAAGTGGCTCAGTAATGCCTTCACATTACCTGCATGTATATACATACATAGGTTAGCGTACCCACGCACAAAATGTATCCTCAAATGTTCTCTACCAGCATTCTAGCTAGTCACTCTCATGTAAAAATGTATGACATTGCTTGTCTAGACCAGAACATATAGTTCAGTATTTTCTTTATTATAACAAAATATGTGCCTAGTATCTGAAATCACATCTGTATACTCATCTGTTTAATGCTCCATTTGCATCAACCGTTGTGGTAGTGCAAACCTGAATGTTATTTCATGCACAACCTAAATAAAGAATTAAAAAAATAAAAAATAAAGTGGCTCGATCCTACTTTTCCTACAGAACACCGCAATTATGGAATAACCTTAGGGACACAGTCAAATCTTCATTCAATTTCAAATCTTTTAAGAGATCTATGGTAATATACCTCAGCACAGAATGCACCTGTCATGGTTGAATATATTGATTACCTGTTATGTATTAAATGTATATATGTGTGTATATATATCTATAGTGTGTATATTGTATTTTTCTAATATTGTATCCTATTGTTACAATGCAATGTTTTGTGGACCCAGGACATACTTGAAAACGAGAGAAATCTCAATGTATCCATCCTGGTAAAATATTTTATAAATAAATAAATAAATGAAAGTGTATAGTTCATGCCTTTGAGGTTTCACTGCTCAATTATCTGCCATTTAGGAGTTAAATACTATTATTTCTGTCCATATAGCCCTAGCAACACCTTCCCTGGCTGTGACTGACACAGCCTGCATGAAAACAACATGGTTTTAGATGTTGTTTACTTTAAATGTTTTTCTTTCCTTCTCTGTAAATTGAACTTTAATTGCATAAAATTAAATTTCAATATTTGCAATAAAGTAAGTGTAAACATTAAATGACTCTTTACAATAAGTATTTAGGAAGGCTGTGCAAGTCACATGCAGGGAGGTGTGGCTAGGGCTGCATAAACAAAGTGATTTAACTCGTAAATGGCAAAGAATTGAGCAGTGAGACTGCAGGGACATGATCTATACACCAAAACGGCTTCATTAAGGTAACATTGTTTTGGTGACCATAGTGTCCCTTTAACCTCTTAAGGACACATGACATATGTGACATGTCATGATTGTGACGGAACGCTGGCACTCCGACTGAGTACCTCCGCCAATCGATGCTCCTAGCGCTCGCCGAGGACTCCAAGCACCCCAACCGACACCATCAGCACTGCAGACCCCACTTCCAGCGATGCAACTGCGCCGGGGTCTCTGCTGTTTCCACCCACCCTGGACTCAAGGCCAGGATCCAGCTTCCAGTTGGTGAACCTCTCTTTCCCCAGAGAGCAGGAACAGGAACAAATCAAGCTATTGCAAGAGCTTCCTCTGGGGAGTAAGTGATTATAGCAATCCCCAGAGTGTAGGTATCCCTTCCCCCAAACATGAGCCAAGGCTTAATGCTGGAACAAGACTGATTTACTGGCACACAGAACTCACAATTTATGCAACACAAAACTCCTCCTCTGGGCCAGGCTAGATAATTGAGTTTCTACAATACACAAAGCTCAATTATCTGCTGGCCAGAAATAATACAGTTTCATAAAACACACAGGGACCCCAAAACATGCAATAACCCCATAAAAAGTATATCCTTGGAACCGGGGGATCTGGGTGAACCACATATCCAAAATTCACCCAGATCCGTTCAGTACTTTGGAAAATACAGTTTAATGCAGATTCTGCAGAACATATACAGGCTAAATGAAAAACAATCACTGTATAATGTGTCCCCTGCTGTATAGTCCAAAACCACTGCACGATGTCTCTGTGCACCAAATACTGGCGAGATGGCACCGTGTTGAAAAGTCCAAACAGTGTCTGTGAGTTAAAATGGCCACCATCCATTGTTCTCACCATGTGCTTCTGATACAGGAAATGGTGGCCACCCAGTAACTCCACAGTATGTCCCCAGATGGTTCTTAAAGGGCCAGCAGCAGCACAACACAAATCCATTATGCCCAAATCATGTCTTTAAAGGGCAATACATCCCAGGGGCCATAGTCACAGGCAAGAGGCGGGCAAGCAGTCCTCTCCAGGCACAAGTGGCGAAGGGCACTTCGTCACAATGATTCCCTTTTATTCCAGAAGTTTGGTCCTTAAGGGGTTAAGCCCATTCTGTATTCAATTTCCCCTAATATTGCAGCTATAAGGGCTGACCTCTTTTGAGGATGCCCCCTTCACATACCTGTCTGTTACGCTGGTCCAGGATACGAGCTATTTGTATTTTTTTTCTGCCCATCAGGATGTACAGCTAGTCGTCTTCAAGAAAAAAAATACCTTAAGAAAACAAAAATAATAGAGTATTTGTACATGTTTAAAAGTCAGGATGGCAGGAAAGCAGATAATAGTAATACCAAGCAACATAGAAATCCAGGCTTTAATGACAATAACTTCATCCACATTTTCAAATTTCCAATATCCAGCCTTCTCTTCTGGATTTACTGTTTGGACACAACATTTTCAGCTGACATCATTTAAGTCACCAATTAATTGATAGATTCATACATTTCAGATGCACTGTACTGACTATTGCAATTTCAGAATCATAGATGACAGATTATCTGCTATTGTGAGATGTGCACTAAGACACCCCTCACCTGGCTTTCCCTAAGCCTGCTCAGAAATGTCCAAATCAAGATAGTACTGAGACTGAGTCAATATTTTTCCTAGATAAAAAAATATATAATTTATTCAATCAATGTATAAATATATATGTTTGTCTAATAAAAGTTTGTTTAGGGTCAGGACTTGTTTAATGTAGTTTATCGTCCATTTAATACTTGTTGGGTCACATATGGATATTTTTCTGCATAAACTCCAAAACTGACCTAAATTTCTGTTAAAAACTTTTCTAAATTCTGAGGTGTGAAATGTATGCATTGTTGTGTCAAGCAACAATTCGTCTACAGTGTTTACACACATAGGTTATTCAGAAAATATGAATGTGCCTATGAACTGCTGCAAAACTGGAAAGAACCTAGATTAGTCATAACACTGAACAGATGCTGACTTGGTGATTCCGAGTCAGATCCACACACTTCAATGTGCCATTTTTTTTTTTTGCAGGTGAAATAAAATACAAATGCAAACTATAAATAACTGCAGAAACATCCAGCAGGCAACAGGAAAAATGAAAAAAACAAAATGAGCATTAGGGTGCCAGGGTGATTACAGTCCACCGACACCCTCGGCACTCTACTAATAGATGGTTTGTGGCATGTTTATAGGAAAAGAAGCGTGGTTATAGAAACCTGCTTCTTTATAACATTATCCACTCCTCACTAGACAACGAATGTGGGAATGTGGCGGACCTTGCACACATCCATTAGTAATCATGGGATCCACAGCATAGAGCACCCTCTATTTTATATTTTTACTTTCAATTTGGATATAAGTGAATGTTGCTTTTAAAAAACAAAAAACAAGAAACAAAAGGGAGAATAAGGAAAATTACATGGAAAAAGGGGATCAGACATGAAGACTTAGGGTCTCAGAGTTTTAAACAGTCATGGCTACCATAGTTGTATTTTGTAGATCCACTGAAAGTGTATTTATTTTTAATCAACTGTCTGCTGTTATACAGTATTCTACTAGTGTGATAACTATAAGTGCAGTGTAACTGTAAAACCATCAAATGGAAGTAATTTAAACTAAAACAATTGGTATATATAATAAAATAACAAAACAAGACGTGTCCCTTATTGTTTGAATGGCAGAGGGGTGAACAAGACATTGCTATATAAAATGTATAAATAATTTGCCTTAATTCTCATTTTTTAATTTAAGGAATTACAAAAGCAAACCAAGAAATGTACAATATATACAAACAGTAAACTGGGTGATTTTATGAAAAATAAACTAACAAACACCAGTAACAATTTCAGGATCCCAGAAGGGAAAGTGTTAAATATATTAGCAGTTGCCAGTTTTAATTGCCTTCATCTAGGGAGTAATCTCAGACGACATCAGAAACCAACTGAAGACACAGGGGAACAACAGTGTTTTTCTGAACTTCACTGGTCCCATGCTTCCTGTGCCACAAAGACCCCATAAATGAAAAATCACCCCCCTTGATGATTTTACAATAGTAACCTAGAGACAAACAGTATATTATGGCAGGTCTTGCATCAGGCAACAGGTGATGGAAAGTCCCTGGGGGTTCATTAGAGAAAGGTATTAAAGCAAAATATCGAAATGGATAGCTTTATGAAGCCTTTGAAACTGGATTTCCAACACCAAATTTGCAAGTTACAAAAATATTTGAATAAAATATTGCAAACTAAAAAAAGAGCTAGATTAATTGTAATTTGATGTATTTTGTTAATTAATGCAGAAATAGATGATTACAAAGTGCTTAGAACATGTGATTTGCCCAGATTAAAAACCTCAAACTTCATTTTCTTAATCTCCTTTCACCTGATCTCACAGCTATGGGTGGGAATATTTAATCCCTGAGATTATTCCATATGTTATGTCTCATATAGCCCATCAGGAAAATTATTTTATAATTTGTCAGGGTTCCTGCTCAAACCAGCGTCAATTTTGCACTCTCTTTTTTCAGCATTGATTCTGATGCAAGCCACTTTTCCAGTGTCAGTTATGATGCAAGTCAAACCTACTCTGTTCAAAGTGATGGCGTGTGTCTTTAGATTCAAGAGTGACATGGACCACTACTTCTGTGCTAATTTTATATGCAAAAGTGACACAAGCACGGCCTCATTCTGGCAACTCTGGACAATCATATTTTGGGATCATATTTTTTGCTCTTTCTGGAATTTTGACTTTGCTTTGCCTACTGCCCATTCTGACTTCTCCAATACCACCTCATTGTCTAGTCCTCACCTCTCCAATACTGTCTCATTGTCTTTCTATGTTTCATGATCCTCATCCTTTGACCATTCTCACTCTTGCCTTAAGCCAAGCCACCTCTAAGAACCAGTAATACATTTTATTCTCTAAGCTCGCCAAGATTTCCGTGTTAGGATAGGACTCGCTACCTTCCTGACATGATTGACCTAATACAGGAGATGATCAAAATATGTATGTTACAATGTAGAAAAAGCCAACAAGCAAACACAAGTCAGAGTGACTATGAAAAGACAGTAAAGTGTAAAATTGAAATGTAGGTACAAGGCCAAAGCATGGCTAGAGTCATGGAGGACCTACATGGAAACAAAATACCCTAAGGTTAATTGTAGTCAGACAGGTTTACGAAAGTGAGTAAGTAAATTTCAAATTCAAGGTAAAATAATAACTGAACATGAGACATTCTCTAAGTCATTATGTTTTAAGTTCAACTAGTTGGGCCAGAAATTTGAAATACACTTTGAAGTCATGTGGAATTCTCACTTTGTGAATAGCTTTGAGTGTTACTTTAGGGATTCATGTAAAAAATCAATATAAGGTTAAATGCTGTTTTTAAGTATTAATTTGTATGTGTTCATTAAAATGGTGCCTTGTTTTAAAAAGCTACTGCGCAGCCTTTAAAAAACAAGGGGCTACTTTCCCAAAGGTGGTGACCTACTGGCGCAGCATAGTAAACTTCAGCTCCCAAATCTTACAAAAACGGATGACACTAGATCCATGGGCGTGCCTTTTATCCAGACCCACGGAGGGCCTCCCAAGACACGAACAAAAACTCATGATCTACTTAGCGGCCTGCAGGGCCGTGGCACAACACTGGTCCTGTCCGGACCTCCCGCAGCTGTCCTTGGTCAGGACAAAACTACGCGATAATTATCTGATGGATAAACTCACGGCCCAAGTGCGGAACACGTTGACCACATTTCACAAGGTGTGGGGTCCATGGGAGCAATACGACACATAGACTCATGGTCTGGGGCGCGGGGCGGCATCCGTGCGGCACAATTCAGTAGCGACAACTGGGGCTCACTCAGCGGTCACCATCATTCCATAACCCGGACGGGTGGAAGCGGCTCTACTGCAGGACGGGTATCTGGTTAAAGCCGGAACGAGGGCCGCGGCCCACTGGGGCGGGCGGCACAGGGTTCACGGTTCCCAGGAGATCACCTCCTTTTCGTAATTTAACACACTGAAATCTCTACTTGTCTATATCTATCTATCCTTTCTTTATATGCTTTTATCTCTTGTAAACACACCAGACCATGTAAACAAACAGGAGGAGAGAAAAGCTCCAACACTGTCAGACCCTGCCTGATTACATGCATAGCGGAATGACAGCACACAGGGGGCGGCAGGGACAGGGCACACGGGGAGGGCACAATGCCTGACCTACCTGGGCAAGCTCAGGATACCTCACACATACGCCTAGGCCAAGACAACGCAACACACTCATCACAGCCATCCCGAGAATTCATGGCACAGCACACTCCTCAATAATTCTACCATTGTACATAGTTATTTCTTTCTTTTCTTTTCTTTCTTTTCATCTCTCTTTATCTGCTTACCAACACAAACGAAAAACTCTGGCGGAGACGCACCTAAGGTGCACAGGTTGTGGCCAATGCCTGTACTAACTATGTTACCCTGTATTCTGTACTACAAACCAACAAAACTTGTACGGTCATGTATCCACCTCTGTTTGCACTATTGTAACCATGCTTGACTGGCAGAGCGAAAAATAAAGAATTAAAAAAAAAACAAAAAACAAGGGGCTACTTTAAATATGCATGGGGGATCTAGTGGGTGACGGGAGGGTGTCCAAATAATAATAAAGTGGGGGACCTAGTGTCTCTTTCAGCCCCCACCCAGGGGTGATGGACGAGGGCTGAATGTCCTCCCCAGCCACCACCCATGGGCAATAGTTGGGGCCCTAACACTAATAAAAAGTGAGGGACCTAGTGTCCCACCCAGCCCCTGCTCATGGTGGACAGGTGGGGGGCCCTAATAATAACAAAGTGAGGGACTTACTGTCCACCAAAGACCTCCTTTATGGGTGATGAAAAGGGGACCCTAATTAATTATAAAATAGGAGGGCTGAACATTTCATTGTCCACCCATGTGATAACAATGTGACTTTGATTTAATTTAGTGGATTGGCTAGGGTATTGGGGACACCTAGTCACCCAATAAATTAACGTCCCTGCCTACCCACACTCACTATAATTAGCAATTATTATTAGACGATAAACCTAAAACCTGTAAAAACCAAACAAAACAAAAAGAATTATACTAACCATCAGAAGTTTTCTTTCTTCTAATTCTTCAGCCTTAATAAAGGCCAAATTAAAATTCATAATAACCAACGCCACTAATTAAAATAAAATACAAAAAGGCCTTATTGCAAAAAAAACAAAAAAAAACACACAGTAAAAAAAAAAAAAAATGTGCCTCAATAAAAATAAGCCATCTTAATGGGTTAATTTAATGCCTCAGAATAAGATATGATAGCGGGGAAAGCCTGCTATATTTAGACTTTCCCACACTATCACATAGCATGGGTAAAATTTAGAAAAACTTTAGTTTTCCTAATTTATCGGGAGAATTTGCTGTTTTACCCTCGATCTATGAGACTGAAGTAAGAATCCATGGAGTGTCCCTTCAAGTGCAATCACTAAGAAATCAATGGTATAGATTATACTGTTTTATTTATAAAGTGCCAACACATTCTGGAGCGCTGTACATGGGCACAATGGTACAAGTAAAAATACAAAGGTACAATACGCATGAGACAATACAAAATTGACAAACAAACAGTAAAATTGAGGGCCCTAATCCCGTGGGAATTTATTATCTAGATGGATAGGAAGCGTGAGAAACAGGAGGTGGGGGACTGCAAAGGTGAGAATGAAATTTATACAGAGTGAGATGGTTAAGTGGAATTATATCCTTCATTAGCAGGCCTATATTCCTCTAATGTGTTTGCCAACACGGTCATTATTAAAGCATAGTTTCTTGAATCTACCTCTCGGGAATATTGTGCAATTTCCTCTATGTTGTGTGAGAGATTTCCTACTTTAATAAATTATCAATTAGATACATTATGCTTCAAGAAACAAACTAACCGCTGTCATTTCATGTCAAAGCAGAGCTTTCAGATCTTTTTGTGGAATATGATACCCGTTTTCCTTCTTTTTGTTGGGGCACCTGCAGCACACCTGTACACCTGTACGTCTATCCTAATACCCTTCTGTGTATGCATCATGATACCATTATTATGAGATCGGGCATTTTAATTTGAGGCAAAAACAAACTAACAATATTTTTCACGTTATCACAAGGGACAAGTTTATCCAGTGGTTGGGGAGTAATAATAAAAATTTATATTATTTCCTATGTCCGTTCACCATGTTTACGGCGCTGTGCTATAGCCATTTCTGTGCCATGAATTCTGCCAAGTTTGCGTCTATAATATATAAGTTAATGTAGTTTTCATAACTGCCTAGTAAGAAGGCACCCTTGAAAATGCCATTTAGAACTAATTCCACCTCGTCACAAGTGAATCACAGCTGGCTCGCTCCCCAAATAGTTTGAATACTGCTCACCGACACAGTTTGTTTTTCAATGAAGGATCATAGGAAATGTGAATTCATTTGCGTTAACCTTTTGAGTGCCATATGCCGGCCCAACTCAGCAATGCGCAGGCACACAGAAAGGGTTAAATGCCCTGTCTGACACTTCTAATGTAGGTTTATGTTTTCATAGAAATACAAAAAAGTAATAGCTAGTTTGCTAGGTTAAAAAACATTTCCATCTCAATTTGAAAAATGTACAGCTACTTGTTTAGTGTTAAACAAAACAATTGCAAAGATATAAAGAATTTTATTATTAAATTATTCAAGCATTTTCATGCTTTTTCAACACTACTAATATAAAGCTGAATAAATATTCAACACTATTGCTCCGTAGAAGATCCATTATTTTGTCATGAGTTCCCTGTCTCTTCGGTCACGATGTTCGAACTATGAATGCACTGAACAATTCATTTAAGGGTGGATTTTTAAGGAAATCACTCTCAAGTAGAACTGGCATCACGCACTGTAGATTTAGCTTTGTTTGTACAGGAAGTTCACAGAGTCATTTAAATCGCGTGGACTTAGCTGGTAGTTTTCCACATGAACAAATGGAGACGATGTGAATCGTCAAGTATTTCAGAGTTATTCACTAAAGTAAGAATTGCTGGGGATTCAAAGTGAATTTCAAGATTTAGGCCAACTTAGAAAAAAAAATATCCAAGTCACTTCTGTTAGGCTATTTTGCATTACATTTGAAATTCACTTTTAGAGATATTTACTAAAGCAAGAATTCAAAGTGGATTTTCAAAGAAAGCATAACGGACTTAGAAATGTTTTCCTTTTCAGCTATTTTGACCTTAAATTTGAAATTCATTCTGCTGCTTGAATTTACAGCAATTTAGTAAATTATCCTGAAAGACTTGTTGATTCCCAACATCCCCATTTGTTGATACTTTTAATAATTCTTAGTAAGTTATAATCTCTCAGTAAGCAACTGTCTGTGAAATAAGTTCTGCTCAAACCCGTCGGAGAACACTTGATTTCTCTATATGACGTACATTTAAAATAAAGCTGATTTAATACCCATTTACCCTAAACTCCCCTAATCCCACTGCAACAACATGCAACTTATGCTACATAGAGATATACTGCTGGACCCACATTTCGAATTATAGAAAAAAATGTAAATTTTACACAAAAACAGCTGCTTTCCAAAAATACTATAGTTATAAATCATTAATAGATTATGATGGGCAGCACATGAAAAGTACTACACTGTACTAAGTATAATTAAAATGCTGCAAATCAATGAGGATAATGCACCATGTAAATGTTTCCTATGGCAGAGCAATATATTTCATGTGCTGCCCATCAACATGAAGAAATTATATATAGCCACATCATTAAAGCTTCAACTACCACACACTGTAATGATGCCTGACATTATTATTATTATTACTATTATTATTGGCATTTACATAGCGCCAACTTATTCTGCAGCACTTTACAATATTATAAAGGGGGATGTAACAATAAATGACACTATTACAAAATGTTACAGGAACAATAGCGTGATGAGGACCCTGCGCAAAAGCACTTACAGTCTTATAAACAGCACTATCGTGGAGGCGCTTCACTCTTTGCAATGCGGCAACAGTATAGTGTGGCTTTAATGACTATTGCCCTTAAATTTAAACACATGGTTTTCCTGGAAGCACTTTACTTCTTGATGGGCACTGCATGAAAAGGGCTCTTTGCAGTGTGTAGAATTCAGATGCTGCAGAATTCTTCATGGATTGCTTAATGTTCTACCTGCAGGATATGAATACTACATACCAATTCATATGTTAAAGTGATGTGTCCAAGAAACCATGATAGATTTGGAGACCCTGCTATAATGTGAATGATTATATTGAAGCTCATTCTACTGTTGTGACAGTCAGAGACTCAGGTACCTTAAATCCCTTGCTCTGAGCAATCTGCAGCTAATGCTGTCTCGCTACCTGTGCCAGTTCTCGTTGCCTCACCTGCTTTGTGTGAACCGCTCTGTTAGGCTGTCCAGGTGTTTAATGCTGTCACTGTTTCACACCACAGGAATCCTCTTAGCTGCGTTTCTTATTTTCTTTCTTTCTTTTTTTCTGGCTCATTTGCAGCGTTGAAAGGAAACGGACACCTATAAATAGCAGGCTTTTCTTGTAACTGCTGTCATTGATTCCTCTTTAAAAAAAAAACACTTCACTCAGACTTTGCCTCCTCCGTAACACAGACTGTAGCCACAGATGCCTCATTTCCCAGTGTCTTCATCATTACGCTGATTAGCATAGCTCCACCCTGCTGGTTCAATTTACAGCTGGAAGGAAGGAGATTATAAAACAATGCAGGAGAGAGCTATGGGGAAGGGTTACATGGAGTGATAGGAGGGGGTTATATGGAGGGTTGTATGGAGTAATAGGGGTTATATGGAGGGTAACATGGAGTAATAGGGGGTTCTATGGAGGGTAACATGGAGTAATAGGGGGTTATATGGCATAATAGGGGGTTATATGGAGGTTAACATGGAGTGATAGGAGTGGGTTATATGGGGGGTTGTATGGAGTAAAAGAGGTTATATGGAGTAATAGGAGGGGGTTATATGGGGGATTGTATGGAGTAAAAGGGGTTACATGGAGTAATAGGAGGGGGTTATATGGGGGATTGTATGGAATAATAGGGGTTATATGGAGGTTAACATGGAGTGATAGGAGTGGGTTATATGGAGGGTTGTATGGAGTAAAAGGGGTTACATGGAGTAATAGGAGGGGGTTATATGGGGGTTACATGGAGTGATAAGCCGGAGTTATATGGGAGTTGTATGAAGTAAAAGGAGGTTAAATGGAGGATTGTATGGTGTAATATGCGGTTACATGGAGGGTTACAAGGAGTGATAGGAGGGGGTTAAATTGGGGGTTGTATGGAGTAAAAGGGGTTATATGGAGGGTAACATGGAGTAATAGGAGGGGGTTATATGGGGGTTACATGGAGTGATAGGAGGGGGTTATATGGTGGATTGTATGGAATAATAGGGGTTATATGGAGGGTAACATGGAGTAATAGGAGTGGGTTATATGGGGGGTTGTATGGAGTAAAAGGGGTTACATGGAGTAATAGGAGGGGGTTGTATGGGGGTTACATGGAGTGATAGGAGGGGGTTATATGGGGGTTACATGGAGTGATTGGATGGGGTTATATGGGGGTTACATGGAGTGATAAGCGGGAGTTATATGGGAGTTGTATGAAGTAAAAGGAGGTTAAATGGAGGATTGTATGGTGTAATATGCGGTTACATGGAGGGTTACAAGGAGTGATAGGAGGGGGTTAAATTGGGGGTTGTATGGAGTAAAAGGGGTTATATGGAGGGTAACATGGAGTAATAGGAGGGGGTTATATGGGGGTTACATGGAGTGATAGGAGGGGGTTATATGGGGGATTGTATGGAATAATAGGGGTTATATGGAGGTTAACATGGAGTGATAGGAGTGGGTTATATGGAGGGTTGTATGGAGTAAAAGGACAACACAGGCAGGTGGTGCTGAATGATATGCTGGCACCTACTTACTGGTAACTGTGCTGACTGCAGAGGAGGAGAAGGAAGGGGTTCCTGCTTTCCAACCACTAGGCACCAGGGACTGCTGTAACTCTGAATTCCTCTCTTTGCCCACCGCGGGTGCCCACATAGATAAACTGCAAGGGGAGCATACGGAGATTTAATCAATAAAAACAATGGTGTTACACTTTACAGGGTAATTCTGAACTGTAGCAAATACAAATGGTGTATGGTATAATTTAGGCCCAAATAGGTGATTTGACAAATTCTCCTACTCATATATAGCCACAGTTGACTTTTTAGTCTTAAATTCAGATTATTATTCAGTGAATAACTCTACCCCTCTCCAAATTTTTCTTTCCCTGTTGTCAAACTCCAGCTTGTAATACTGTACATCCAATGTGGAAAAAGTCACTAACAGGGCTTAACAATAAAAAAAATATTAATTTAGGCAAATCAGCATACAGTCAATGTTTCAGTCCCGTTATCAGACTTTTATCAAGATGTATAGATAAGCTGTAGTTTGTGTCTGCTTAAAATAAAACATTTTTTTTTATCCTATTATACTTAATATATATATTGTATGATTATGTGTGCTCATTTGTTTTTGCTTCATAAATTGTACAATATTAAGCCAGGATTTATTTTAAACCTATTTGGGAACATGAAACACTTTAAATATATATATATCTTTTTTAAAGAACATGGTCTATTGTTCAGACTTCCTGCCCCTTCTTCACGTGAATATATGGGTGGGCTTTATGAGTGAGTGGTGGAAACTTAAACACAATACATAGATAAGGAGTGAATTAGTCAGTGGAAAGATCTTCCCCTCATATTGGGAAGAGGATATTGAAAAACTCCCACCCACTATAAGTTAAAACACAAACTTATGTTACCTTGAGAAATTGAAGAAAAAAAGTAATAACTGATTTAAAATTTCACGTAGTACATATACTACTCATTTTTCTTCTCTTTGCCCTTGCCCCTGGTTCTGCTTGAGTTTGTCAATTTCCCAGCAACCTGTCCCATCAAAGTTCCTCTCTCCTAACGTCCCTTCTCTGTTTTATTTCCCCTTACTAAACATTGTCTATTTTAATTCCACTCTTCCCCAATCTATTTCAGTTACCCCATTCCCATTCAGACTTGTTTTGGTTTTCTACACACTTTTTTACATTTTAGTTCCTCTCTCAACCTACTTCCCCATTTCAGATATCCAATCTTTGTCCCATTTCATTTCTTCCTCCTCCACATGTGTGCCCCATGTAAGATAATCTGCTATTCAAAATGTCAGACCTGATAAAATCCCATATTTTCCCCAAAACATGTTATTAGGTTTTAGGAAAAGTTGATAAAGATTGGTGGGCACTGGCTTACATAACCAAACACCTTATTTAAAAATGTCATGTTATGTTTATATTAAAATAATACAAAGTAAATAACAGGGTTAGATAGAACTACATAAGGTAGAGTTGGGTAAAATATGAATAATAACCCTGATTCGAGAAAACTAAAGAAGAAAAGTGGCCAGGTCAAATCACTAGCAAAACTGGTCCAACCCTCCACCATCCAAGTTAAATTAGTATATTAAAATATTTGGTAAATACGAATTCTATTATAGGCATCGAAAGGTCAAACAAAGGACTCCCAAGATTAAAAGAATTGAGAAACCTAGTGCCCTTAATGTTGGTTTTCTACCCACTTCAATTTAAAAACAAAAATGCAAATTTTTTTTGACAGAACAACAGGTTCAATTTATCACAAGAAATCAAAGCGCGTAGGATGGTCTTTCTGGCAGCTATCTGCACCATTAGAATTAACTTTTGTGGCTATATCATGTAAAATACAAAATATGGACAGCTCCGGGGAAGTGTAGGCTGGTCTCCAGATATATTTGTATCTCCCCCCAAAACTCCTGTTTTTGAGGGCATCTAGAAATCCAATTACATAGGTAGCATTAGCTTCTTTCCTGCATTTCAAACAATGTGAAGAATTTGTTAATCCAGTCGGGAGTCAGTGTTGGGAGTCAGCTGCCAGGTTGACTTGTAGTGCTATCCACCAAAGCATTTCTTGGTATAAAGGCATCAGAAAATGTTTTAGTAGTTTGTTTGTTGCAGCGAGAGTGTCATCAGTGAAGTGGGAAGGCAAAGATAATGTCCATTTATTTATGGGTAGTTACAAGAGAATGGTCCAGATCTGTACTAATACTACTGTAAAGCTTGGTAGGCAAAAAGAGGTATCTGAATTCATGGGAACTTGTCCCAAAATTGAAGTAAAGTTAGTATTTTTTGGCGGTAACAATTAAAGGACCACTATATTGCCAGGAAAACATACTAATTTTTCTGGCACTATAGTGCCCTGAGGGTGCCCCCACCCTCAGGGTCCCACTCCCACCGAGCTGAATGGAGAGGATGGGGTTAATCCCTTACCTTTTTTCCATCGCCGGGCTCCCTCAGCGCTGGGGACTCTCCTCCTCCTTCGGTCGTCATTGGCTGAATGCGCATGCACTGCACGAGCCGCGCGCACATTCAGCCAGTCCATAGGAAAGCATTTTCAATGCTTTCCTATGGACGCCGGTGTCTTCTCACTGTGAAAATCACAGTGAGAAGCGCGGAAGCGCCTCTAGCGGCTGTCAATGAGACAGCCACTAGAGGCTGGATTAACCCATTTGTAAACATAGCAGTTTCTCTGAAACTGCTATATTTACAGCAGAAAGGGTTAATCCTAGATGGACCTGGCACCCAGACCACTTCATTGAGCTGAAGTAGTCTGGGTGCCTATAAATGTTCCAATACATGACAGGGAACAAGCTGATCTGATAGATTATTATTGAAGCATTGATTAGACATGAATTTGAGTAATCTGGAGTATTTGCCAGTGAAGGTTAAGTTGGATTCTCATAATTCTTCATGTTGTAAAATGCTGCTGTCATCTTTCGCCTTGACTACTGCAATCCACTTCTCAGTGGTCTTATGAATTCCCAGCCGACCCTGTTATAGTCTGTAATGAATGCTACTGTGAGGCTCATTTTCGTATCCACCTGCAGCTCCTACACCTCTTCCCTCTGTCAGTCCCTGGGTTCCTGTAAGATATAGGACTTAAAGGGACACTATAGTCACCAGAACAACTAGATCTTATTGAATTTGTTCTGGTGAGTAGAATCATTACTTTCAGGCTTTTTTGCTATAAACACTGTCTTTTCAGAGAAAATGTAGTGTTTACAATACAGCCTAGTGATAACTTCACTGGCCACTCCTCAGATGGCTGTTAGAGATCCTTCCTAGGTCATGGCTGCCTAAAATTCATCCAAAGATTCAGTATCTCCTCCCTCTGCATGCAGACACTGACCTTTCCTCATGGAGATTAATTTATTCAATTCATCTCTATGAGGAGATGCTAATAGGCCAGGGCTGTGTTTGAATCATGCTGGCTCTGCCCCTGATCTGCCTCTTTGTCAGTCTCAGCCAATCCTATGGGAAAGCATTGTGATTGGATCAGGCTACCACATCTGATGATGTTCGCAGACTGCTTGTTTTTTTTTTTAGGC